TCGTGAAAATATCGTACGAGATATTTGGATATTGTTACATCCCTAATGGTGAGCCTCCCCACCATATCGTGAGCTTTCCCACGATATCACAATAAATATCGTACCGTGAGCTTCATACGTGACAATATCGCATCCTGAGACTTGGACATCGTTACACCCCCTATTTGTGTGTATTCTTTATTAGGAGTGTGCAAAAATATTGAAATATCGATATATCGTGACATTTACTGTGATGATACAGTATCAATATTGTGGGCAGCTGTATCGATATATCGTCAAGAGTATTTTTTTGGCATATGTTACTAAATTATTTTGTTACAACGCTACACTACTGTTGTTTGTTCAGAGGAAGGAAACTAATTTCTGTAACACATATGACATTTACACAGTTTTGACGATTAAAATGTTTGTGTTTCATATGAACTTTGCACAAGAAGTGGTTGAACAAAGACTTTTACTATCCCAGCCATGATTTAGCCTTTACTTTTTATTGAACTATATCGAATTATTTTGAAATATATCACATTTAATTGTATCGAATTGTAAGCTCTCTGTATCGAGATATGTATCGTATCGGCAACTTCTGAATGATACCCAGCCCTACTCTTTATAGGCAGGTCGGTCAAAACTAAATATTGGACTGTGCAAATATCGGCCCGATATTTTGGCTTGCTGATATATCTCTAATTCATACAATAACAAAAAGATTTACATGAAAGCAACTATTTTAAACTTCCAGTCATAAACTACGGTATCGTCAAATGGTTTATTTCCAAACAGTCCCTCCTTATGTCTTAAATCTTCTGTGAAAGTTAAATCTACTCTGTCAAGGTGAGGTCAGCGTGAGTGACAAAATACATAGGATTCAATAGTAAAACACTTGAATGGACTGAAAAGCAAATTACTTTCAGATCACAGTATATTCACAAAACCAAAATCCAGTGAAGCAATACTCCAGACACACTGTTGTTTTACATAGTGCAGATCTTTTCCTGTCGCAGCTCAAAGGACGAATAAATCAACAACAAAAGACTGTCACATGTGGTTATCGTTTATCTAAAAGCCAAAGTAAACCTGGGTCTGATTTTTACTGATGAGAACCGAGGGAATGTGGGCTTAGACTGCACTATTTTAAAATAAAACCCAGTACTATCTGTCCTGTGGTAGTTTTTGTCATGTCATCGATTTTTAAGGATTAGGGATGTAGTGGGAAGTATTAGGAAAGTTATTTCTTCGTCTCTTTGTCACAAAAAGTCAATACTATATAAATTTGGACATTAAAGAGGATTTTTATTATGTTATTTGGGTTGTAGCAATAACTGAAATCAAAAGAGAATAATATCGGAGGCAATCACAGTATATCGAATTACAAGTGTCTTTGCTTAAACGAATAGTTATGGTGATTTTAATGGGACAGTCTGAAATTTTGGACACGCAGGACTTCATTTCCTAGTGAGCCAGAGTAGTTTTGGAGACGTGTGGAGACATTTTTTTAAAATATTCCATCTAGGGATGTAACAATAACCAAAATATCGTGATATAGTATCGTCAAAAGTCTAATAATAATATCGTGGGCTGTCATAATATATCGAATTACAAGTCTCTTTGCTTAAATTAAGAGTTATGGTGCAGCAATAGCTTAAAAAAGACAGAGGGAACTACATAGACCATGATCCTTTGCTCCGTTTCAGTGGAGACTAAAGAAGAAATAACTGTTCTAAGCACTTTTAAGTTTTAAGTCTTTAAGGATTAAGTCTTGTCAGGGCATTTTAAGAGGAAAAAGTAACATATTAACAGTTTTGTCAGCGTTCACAAAATATCGCAATAAATATCGTACCGTGAGGTTCATACCGTGACAATATCGCATCGTGAGACTGGGATATCATTACACCCCTAATAAGCAACCACATCATTTTTGAAACTATGTAGTAAATAGGGGTGGGTTAATATAAGTTTTTCTTCTTCCTATTCCTTTTTGAGAAATGTGCTTTTCCGTTGTTTACAATGTACATGTAGTAAAGATGTAACAATAACCGAAATATCATGATATCGTATCATCAAAAGTCTCACAATAACAACGTGGACTGTCGCAGTATATCAAATCATAAGTTCCTTTGCTTAAACGCATGGTTTTATAGAAGCAACATCTTTTAAACATAGGGAAATACATATCCCATGATTCATTTCAGTGCAAACAACATGAAGAAATATGTTTTTACTTGAACGCTTGGGATTATGATGGAAATAATTCACACCAAAATCTTGTCAAGGTTTTAAAAGCAAAAAAGTGTCCCATCTACAATTATATTAGTTTCTTCAAAATATCGCAATAAATATCATACTGTGAGATGCATATCGTGATAATAATTGTACTATGAGATTTGGATATCATCACATCTCTAGAAAATGGCAATAAATGTTGTACCAAATGACTGGTCAAACCATTTTATAATGTCTGTCTTGTTATTATGTATAATATCATCATATCGTGAGCTTTCCCACGATATCGCAATAAATATCGTACTGTGAGGTTCATACTGTGATGATATTGTATCGTGAGACTTGGATATCGTTACACCCCTAATTCCATCCAGTCCTTGTATTTGCAGAGGTCGCTGGTGCTAGGCTAGTGCATGTCAATGGCCATAGTTATCCTGCCACTAAAAACAGTCTTACCCACTCCACAAAACACCCGAAGAAAATCTGTTATTACACCAGACTGTCCATGTAAATGTCTGTGTTGATAGAATAATGTTTGAAATAAAACTAACCTTGCATCGCATGAATCGTCGTATGTTGAGGGACTATTTTCTCAGCAGCAGCGGAATTTAACTTTGCCGGTAAGATAGGTGCAGAGTGATATCAGTCCACCGCTGCCAAACTTTCTATCAGGAAATACAACTCACTGCTGCTGCTCAAACATAAATCCTTCAAATGCAAGGTTGGTTTTACTTCTAAACATTATTCTATCAACACAGACATTTACATCGACAGTCTTGTGTAATAATAGATTTGTTTCGGGTGTTTTGTGGAGTGGGTAAGACTGTTTTTAGTGGCAGGATAACTATGGCCATTGACATGCACTAGCCTAGCACCAGCGACCTCTGCAAATACAAGGACTGGATAGAATATTTACAAAAGTGTCTCCACTCGTCTCCAACACTCTGGCTCACTAGGAAATGAGGTCCTACGTCCAAAATTCCAGACTGTCCCTTTAATGTATTTCTTATTCTGTAAAGCACTTTGAATTACTAGTTCCATGATCCTTTGGTGTTGTCGGTGCAGACGACACGAAGAAACAACTGTTATGAAGCACTCTTAAATCTTCATTCTTCATATTATAACAATACAAAAGACTTTAAAAAGGAAAAAAGTAGCATATTCACAATTTTGTTAGTCTCCACAAAATATCGCAATAAATATCGAACCATGAGATGCACATAGTATCGAGGGATTTTGATGTCGTTATTCTTTTATATTATACTGTTATAAGCAAAATCATTCAGTCATTTATCAGCCTCATGTTAATCATGTTATAATATTCCCTCATTAAAAACATACCTGTAGCTGTGTTCGTTCACGCTTGTTTTATTAATGCTGCTAACGGATGCGTCTTTCTCAAGTGATTAAAAATTCCTTTGTAGCATTTTCCCAAGATTGTTACATAATAGATCTGAAATCCAAAAGTCTCCTGCGCAGTTTTCCAGTCCATAAACCACCAGATTCAGACAGTATTTCTCTGCTCGCTACGAACAGAGAATGTTAAAATGACAGTCCTGATGCTGAATCGCTGCTAAAAGGCTTTTGTCACGCTTCATACCCGTCGCTGTCACCAGAGGGAGCTCTAAAACTAAATGAGGGAACATTTTGGGAACGGGCCGTCGCTGTTAATGTGCGTTTGAGTTGAAATCATGAAATGCAATTGCCAAGGTGAATATTTTAAAGCCGTTTAAAAGAAATATAGCCTTGTTGATACTTTGCGGCTGATCTCATCAACATTCCCTGGGAGTGTGATGCTAACTGGAGCTCTATTCTGTTAGAAGCTCTATTATTTCATCACTCACATATATGTAGAACACCCCCAACATGATGTCACTGAAAAATTCCAATATGTTCAAATCCAAAATCCAAATATATAGCACATTTTACAAACAAAGCAGTTTCCAAAGTGTTGCACAAAAATCAATAAAATGAAGACAACAAAAAGGTAAATTGCTAAAATTTGGTCATACCAGTCCTAAAATATTAAACGCAAAAACCATAAAATCATAAAATAGCAGTAAATAAGTAAAATAAATAAAAGACACAGAGGACCACACAAAAGTTAAAAGCCAGAGAATTAGAAGTGGGTCTTAAGACGAGACTTAAAACTCTTCATTGTGGGGGTTGTTCGGACGTGGAGGGGCAGAGCGTTTCCAGAGTTTGGGGCTGGCCACAGAGAAGGCCCCGTCCGCCCCTGGTTTTAAGTCTCGTTTTAGGCACCTCGAGCTGGAGCTGGCCCTCGGACCTCAGCGCGCTCCCGGGGGTGTAAATTTGGATAAGGTCCGAGACGTACTGTGGAACCAGTCCATTTAAAGCTTTAAAAACAAACAAAATCTATCTTTAAATCAACTCTAAAATGAACTGGAAGCCAGTGCAACAGTGCCAAAATCGGGGTAATGTGCTCACATTTTTTTGTTTCCAGATAAAAGGCGCACAGCAGAATTTTGGACTAACTGTAAGTGAGAAAGTGATGCTGGAAAAAAGTGCAATACAGTCTAAACAAGAGGAGATAAAAGCGTGCGTGACCTGTTCAAATGATTTAAAAGATAAAAAAGGTTCACTAAGTCTAACATAACTTCTAAGTTCATATTGCTTTCTCATCCATGCGTTTAAGAAATATGAAATTTGAACTAAATATTATGTCTTTTGAATGGAAAAAGTCTTCAAAATGTTGCACTATAACAGGATCCTGAAATGTATCAATATTCACAGATCTGTTTTTCTCTTGTTTCTTTCAGACTGACCAGCGCCTGAAGTAGACGATGTTTTCTTAAGATCTACTGTCGTCACCACCCGCCTGCGCTCGCCCTCCTCCGCCCCTCACCATGAACCACACCCCGAGCCCGCACCTGTCCGAGGGGGGCAAGTCCACGGGGGGCAGCCTGCTCTGTGCCCTGGGTCTCTCTGGAGGAGGAGACCGGGGCATTCGCTCTCCGGACAGTTTGGCCCACACCCCCAGTCCGACGGGGGGCACTCCGAGCTCCAGCCCCCCCCTGCTGCTGTCCCCCGGCGGGCTGAGCTCTCTGGGGCTGGGGAGTCTGGGGGGCCTGGGGACGACGGGGCGGGGGGAGACTGGGAGAGCAGAGAGGAGCTGAGGCTGCGTGAGCTGGAGGAGGCACGGGCCAGAGCGGCGCAGATGGAGAAGACCATGAGGTGGTGGTCCGACTGCACGGCCAACTGGAGGGAGAAGTGGAGCAAGGTGAGACGCTAAAGGACACTGACTCAGAATAATGCAGAAACGAACTGTTATGTCAAAGGTAACAGTTTTCTTTATTGATTAGGGCTCCTCGATTATGGAAAAAACACACCATATTACGTTTATTTTGGTCAATATTGAAATCACGATTATTCAAATGATTATTTTTTAGTTACACAATGCATTTATTCAGCCTTTCTCTCAAAAGAACCACACACTTTGTTATTAATAATTATGCAAAACTTTCAAATTGAAAATGAATATAGGTTACAAATATGTGCCTTAGAGCAGTTTTGTGATGTATAAACCATAATATTAATAAAATACTTAATACTTTGAACATGAAATAAGGCATAGAAAAACATAAATGTATCCAAAATAAACTATATAAAATAAATGTACTATTTATATAAAAAAATATCGTCCCTTTGTTAAGCTTTATAAATCGTTTCATGTCGATTATATGAGTTTGGAGATCGTTTGACACACAAATCGAAATTATTACTTAGTTAATTAATTAGTTAATTGCACAGGCTTAGAATTGGTGGTATTTTTGCTGTTTCTTACACGTAGACTTAGACAAACTTTCTTGATCCACAAGGGAAATTGTTTGGACGTGGAGCAGTAGCTCACACATCACAATTTAATTTGATTACAAAGAGAAAAATATAAATGGTAATAATAAATAAGAAGCAAAAAGATATCAAGAGACAGTTGTCAAATAAGAAATAATTATACAAATGTTCCATATTTTTCAGACTATAAGGCGCAATATCAATAATGTTGAATTCTCTCGTCTATTTTTATACAATAAGGTGCATTAAGCGAAACAAAAGGTCGACACTTGGGTGTTTTTTTTTTCTGTAGGAGACGGTCCAAATGGCTGTTTGTGTATTTAAGGTTGCCAACCCCTGGTACAAACAGGTTTAAATCCTCGCCTCCTAGCGTTGTGGCGGTGAATTACTTCGACGCAGATCCATAAATCAAAAACGACGGCGGCATTGAGTCGATGCAGAACTATATTTTGCCCTTTACTCCGCGAGGCTCCTGACTACGGTAGCCATAATGCTCTGACAATCCATCAAGCGGTGCGGCTTCGTAACTTACCAAAGTCGTACTAAAACATTTTGACAGATTTTCGAGCGCCGTGTACCACATAAAATCAGTTCGACAACCAGAATTAATACATATGGTGCACTGGATAATAAGGCGCACTATAAATGTTTGAGAAAATTAAAGGATTTGAAGTGCACCTTATAGTCCGAAAAATACAGTATATGCACAAGTCAAAATAAAATATAGAACAGAAAGATAAGTAATAAAATATAAAATCACCATAATTTCATAATAAATGATCAAATATGTTACTGTATTCATATTGGATCCATGTACACACTAAACCACATTTTAGCATTACTATTTAGTATTCCCTGTCATAATCTCTATTAAACAGAGCAGCACGGTGGGAAAGTGGCTAACACTGCTCTTCCTGTGTCTGGGTGGGTTTCCTCTGGACTCTCTGGTTTCCCCCCATCAACCCAAAACCATAATGTAGGTCAAATTCTCAAGCTAAGGTAGTCCTGATCTAGCCAGGCTGGTGCCACCTAGTGCCTCAGCTCTATTTAATTTCTCTCCAGCGTCTAGGTCAGGAATCAGAATACACTAGACGGTTTGCAAGAATCCCAGAAATTGTAGACTGCGCATCGGCTGTGAAGAGCTGTGAAACCATGACGTCAAACTCAAGCACCTGTGTGGGTCCCTTTTGTGGTACAGCACAACAGTAAACAAAGCGGTCGAGATGGATGTAGACGAAGATATACATTCTGTGTTGGCAACGATTCCCGAGATCGAGGATTTAAAGACAAAACAAAGAGAATGTTTGGTGAATTTTATCAAGGGGAAAGACGTTATTGTCCTTCCTACGAGATTTGGCGCATTTCGTACGTCACGACCAAATAGCAGCGATTGGTTAAATAATAAAAGTACCCACCTACCGTTGAGCGAACAAATCCTAATGCTGCGAGATCAGACGGTTTCCACGAAGTGAAACCGGCTGATCAATCAAACTAGTCATGAACAAGACTAGCTCAAAATCATAGACGGTTCCGCTATACGGCAGTAACTTCTCCTGTCAGGTTGCCTCAGCGGCACTCATTAAAGGATGGGTCAAATGTAGAGAATGAATATCCCACGAGGGTTCAATAAAGTGTACCTTACCTTATATTAGAGGATGTTGATGCCATCTGAAGCCCAACAATTCAACTCTTACATGTGGTCAGATGTTGGTTGCAATTAAAAATGATATCATGACTATTACAAATGTTGTCTTTTTTAGCTTTTTTGCCAGTGACTGAGTTATTAATTCATACTACGGATTACATCTTCTTTTTCCTGTGTCCAGGTCCGGGCAGAGCGTAACCGCGCCCGTGATGAGGTGCGTCAGCTGCGGCAGAGGCTGGACACTTTGACCAAAGAGCTCACCGGAGTGCGCAGGGAGAGACAGGAACTGGCCACGGAGAACGAGACCCTCAGACAGGAAGTGCTGCGTCTCCACGGCGACCCCGCGGCCCTGCCCCCGAACGGAACGTCCACTTCCTGTTCCCCGACGCACGCCTCCGTCGCTCGCGGCTCGTCCTGCTCCTCCAGCTCCATGCCGCCCTCCCCCGCCTCCTCTGCCTCCTCCTGTCACCCCCACACTGAAGGGGGCACCACACCAGGGTCACCGGAGCCCGAACCGGTGAGAGACGTCGACCTGGATAAGCAGAAGAAGCTGCAACAAAAAGTCAGTGTACGATTTAGATTCATGTTACGTGTTTGTTTTAGTACCGTATTTTCCACACTATCAGGCGCTCTGGATTATAAGACGCACTGTCATTAAATGGTCTATTTTCAAACTTTTTTCACAAATAAACCGCACTGGACTTTAAACGAAACACAACAGTTGGATGGGTCAGTGGGACTTTGTTTGCTGGATTGTCGGCGTGTTCGCAGTGACTCAGTTGTTCAGTTGTGTCTAGAAGTGGCACATTGCGCTCGCTTTCTTGGTTCATTCCTCCGTTCCGTTCCTCATCGGCGTGGAGTGATGACTGTAGCTGTGGGTAGTTTTTTGCCGCGCGGTCGCTGTCTGCTCCGTGTGTGTTTGCGTGCGCTGCGGGTGATGCGGCTTTGTAGTTTACTGAAGTTGTGCTGGGACACTCGAGTGGATTCGTGGATTGTGGGGCGCGCAGTCGTTTTTTGATGAAGTTGGAGGCATAAGAGTGCACCCAATAGCCCGGAAAATATGGTAATATGATGATACCATACCATATCATATAACGTAATGTAGTGATTAAGTGGTTAATACTGCGCTCACTACTTGGAATAAAGATTTGCTTCTTCTTAAAGTTGCACTGTGTAACTTTTCTGGTGGATTCTCCGCTTGTCTCCATGGAGATTTTATCGCTTTGCCTATTTGCATGTTTGCCTTTTGCACTTTCGCCCTATTTACCATTTATTATTTATTTATTACGTATGTGATAGTGAGAAACACAATTTTAGATTCTTTGTATGAAGAATTGACAATAAACGTTGAACTTGAACTGGAATGTTCCACAGTACGGCATTAACCTTATCATACATTTATTCAATTGCAGGTATTTTATCGCTCAGAAATACTTCGAAAAACATTATATTAGCAGCGTCCATTCTTCACAGATCTCACTCATAACAGTCCTGGCCTGGCTGCATCACCAAATTATCTTTATGGCGATAGAAAAGTTTAATGCCATAGTGTGGAATATTCCAGGCAGCTCTATGAAGGCGATCAGATAGCTCAGTATTTCCCAAACTTTTTTTTCCAGGGACCCATATTTTAAAAGTTACAAACCTTCGTGCAAACCAAATCAAAAGACATTATTCGTAAATCACAAAATAAAGGTGGATTTGACCATTATTGAACATTAATGAGGATATTTTACTGTTTACTGAGTGATCGAGTCTCTCTGAATAATTAGTATCAAATCTAACTTTATTTATAGAGCACTTTTCATACAAAAATGCAACATAAAGCGCTTTACAGTGATTGAAAACAATTCCACATTTCCTTCCTTGGGTCTTGAGAATCCTATCTGTGACATAACTATCTACTTCTACTCCTTCTACGAACTATGTGGAATCTGACATAGTTATCTTCTTTACGACTATCTGAAATCTGGAAATTTATACTAACTATCTGGAACTAGTACGTAAAGGGAAAAAAGGAAGAAACCCCTCTGCAACCTCAGCACATACAACAAAAACACACTACTACTACTGTTACTATTAAGTTTTAAACCATGAAAAACAGTAATTGAAGCAGCAATAAAAGGATCCATAAGTCAATATGGAAGATTAGAAATTATACAAAACATGTCTTAACATTTCAACATTTCTAATGAGATAAATGGGGTGTCTGAGTTTTTGTAGCGTGTTCCAGTCCGAGTGCAGAAGGAGAGCGGAGCAGCAGATCAGACGCAGCATTCAGTTTGTTTTGGTGCATTTTCTTCATTTTTGTGAGCACAGAAAATTCCAAATGTGTCAGAACTAGGGATGGGCATTCGATTAAATTTTCTTAATTGATCGTCGGGAGAATTAACGATCGATTAACGCTTAATGATTAACATTTTTTATATTAAAATATTTCATCATTATTATTACTATCTGCACTACTAATCTGCATAAATAAATTCAACTTTACGACATATAAACCGTAACGACTCTAGAGCCACATCAGCCCGTTTGACATTATCATGTGTTTAATGCAGCTTTGCGCAACTCTCACAGAAACAAAACTTAAAACCACATCGCTAATTCGCATAAATTAAGCAAAGAAAAAAAAACAGCTCTTGTGTCGCTGATGCGGCATGACTTCAGTGGAATACAGGTTAGTGTGACCATATTTGCGTTTGTCAAAACCAGGACACCGTACGGGGAGTGGGAGGTGGGGACTCGTCATCGACATTGAGCGACTCTCACCTGGTAAAACTTTTTCCCACTGGACACCGAAACATATGTGCTGCTTTATACACTGTGCACATGGACTCACACTTGTCCCGACCGCAATGGAAAGCGTGGAATTTCTTGTACAAATCATCGTTAAATACGCATTTGCGCTTCGGCACGTTGCAGACTGACCGACTGTTTGTGTCTCGCTCCTTCTGAGTGCAGAGAGTACGGACCTCTGTTTGGTCGCCCTACGCTACGCACAGCAACCTGCATTCGGTTTGTCGATTAAAATGAACGTAATTGATGAAATTCTTAATGATCAATTATCGATTAATTGACTAATCATGCCCACCCCTAGTCTGAACTGTATATTGCAGACCTACATGCAGCTTGTGACAAGACGACCCAAAGAAATCTTGCACAACCCAACAATGAGATAGCGAACCCTTCCCCTGAAAAGTCACATATTGCACCTTTTAATAGTGTTAGTCTATTGAAAAAGTGTTCAAAAGTATCTTAAAAGGCTTAAATTGTCTGAAAAACCAATTCAAAGCAGCTTGTGTGAATTGCTAATGGATGTAACCTTGAATGTGAAAGTGCTGGCTTGAATACAGTTTGGTCTTGTTTGGATTTGACCATCGGGGGAATCTAAGGACTACTGTACATTTTTTGCTGTTTGTGGTTTGAATGGGAAACTCCAGACCAACAGAGATGCTCAATATGATTCAGTTCTATGTAACTGACCTCAACAAGCGGTTTCAGTGGTCACAAAGGAAAATGTAACCTGAGTTTTTCTTCCTCAAGTCTGTAATGATGCGTAAAACTACTTCAGCCTCTTCAGAAAATTTCATGAAACCAGAACATGATTTTGATATTAATAATAAAGGTGCATTGTGTAACTTTTCTGGTGGAGGGTTCATCAAAAAAGGTAAAATGCTTCTTCTGAAAGTTCACGTTTCACTGTGATTGGTTGAACGCAGCTGTCACTCACTCAGAGCCTTACAGAGGTTAACATATTGATGCTTTTTATGTCATTTCATCATTTTCTGCTCTGTCTGAAGCTCTGTTACTCAAGTTAGACTTTAATCTGAGCTTTATTTTAAGACAATCTGACCGTGAAGAACTGACTTGGAGTTGGAACTACAGCAGGTGAGATGATTTGATACTGTTAAACAAGTACCTCTTGAATCATAAGAATATTAGTCAACACTAGTTTTCCAGTTAGTTACTCTCACCTAATTTGGAGCATAAACACATTTTTGGGACCCTACGATCAATCCACTTAAAACTACTGCATTTAAAATAGCAAGGGTCAACCATGATGTGACCAAAATAGCCGATCATCACAGGGGTCAGATTATGTTTACATTTGTATCTCCATATGGCCCCAGCCCTTATGGATATACTTTTTTAAATGCCAAACCTGGGCTCAGACTGAACGCGGTGCAGCTCCAGTCCAGCGGCCACAAATATTCAGAATAATTCAAAGTAGTGAGGGCATTTCAGACCACACAACATGTGACAGAGCTGCTGCAACGCTATGTGTTATTTCTTTGGGAGTCTGTTTTGGCTTTATATGACCACAAGTTGTTTCCCTTAATAAATAAGTACTGTATTTTTCGGAGTACAAATCACTCCAGCCAAAAATGCGTAATGAACAAGGAAAAAAACATATATAAGTCGCACTTTTTAGGGGACATTTATTTTTTAAAATCAGAGACCAGGAACCGACATTTCATCTTGAAAGTCAAGTTCTAGTAATAACAATAGAACAGAGAACAACAGACTGTTAATGTCACATATGAACAATTCTTCAGATAACTTTAACATAAACAACAGAACAAGTTTAACAAACTCTCCATCTCACTCCAAATCTCTAAATCCATTGAATTCTTCATCCTCAGTGTCACTTCTGAGCAACTCCGCGATCTCCGGAGGTAAACGGAGCGCCGCTTCCTCTTCTGTGTCACTGTCGTCAGACTCAGCATCAGTTCCAGTTAGAATTATTCCAGACTTTCTGAATCCCGACAGGATGGTTTCGGTATCACTGAAGTCCAAGTTTTGTCGATCCATCCAGTGACTTCCAGGAAAGTTGCATGGTGCACCCTCTGCTCACTTCAAACTTTATTTCTGCAGCTCAGTTACTGTTTTGGCTGAAGATTTTGCTACTTGCAGCTTGTAATCTGTAAAATATTATATTCTTTTGGGGGGCATTTGTGTTCAGTCTTCTCAGTTATACTTATAAATTAGTTTAAACAACTGACATGATACTGGCACAACAGAGACTCTTTCTGCAGGAGACATGCACAGTAGAGCCAAGTGACAGTGATACAGGAGGAACAGGAGCAGCAGATACTGACACACAAGACTAGAGCCTCTCGTGGCTGTCAGTGTGATCGTTTTAATATAGATGTCGCAGGACCACCCAAACCATGAAAAAAAGTGTAACTTATAGTACAAAAAATACGTTAGTTATCAAATTAACGAGTGGTAGCACAGCACCACTCACACCACAACTGAACTGGTCCAACACTGGAGTCTGAACTGTTCCTGTTCCAGTCTGAGTGAGGCTTAAATCTTTCTCCATCCCATCTGTGTCCTTTATATTGTGTGTAATAATGACCCAATTGTAGCAGGTGCACCGTCCGTTTGGCCCTAACCCAGATCTCTGCTTCTGTTCTGCCCTGACAAAGTGACCTCAGCCTATAAAAAAAAACCCCTTATCTTCTTGTAGTCTTGCATCTGTGAGGGGGAAGCGTCTATTTTTGGGGACCGTGCCTCCCCCCGCTTCTCCCTCTCTTTCCTCCTCCCATCTCCTCC